TCGATCGAATATTGAAATCTCCTCCCTCCTCCAATAGTCGATCAACTACCGTTCCCTGCCCAAGCAAAGATGCTATCATCAAATGTGTAAAATCTTTGGGGAATATAAGATACCACCTGGTGTTGAACCAGTACAACTGAAACCATGCCCGACAGTGTTTAGATCCAGCTCCACAAATCCGTCGTGTAAACTCGAATAACTCCATCCCCTTATCCTGCGAATCACGAAAGTGATCTGCCCAGCGTCGGGCTGCGTAATCCAGAAAATAGTATTTCTCAAGATAACCTTTAACCGCATGCTCTGAAACCCTGCCGCCGATGTCTATCGCTAAGGGGAAACCACTAAACTCCTCTAGTGAGAGATAGGAAATACAAATGTCAGCCATTACAAAGTTAGAATCCTTGAGACATAGCGTATACTGCCAGTTTCCCTGGCCAGCCACAGATCCCTTAATGAGAAACTCCCTCGCGGTTTGGTGGACGAGGTAGATTTTCGAATCGATCACCCGCACGAAAAGCCCGCATACATTTTTCACCGTCCTTTCGAATCCAGAAGGAGTATCTCCGAGGTCCTCGATTGAGTTTTTCTCCCGCCTGATTCTGAATGCGATGTTCATTTCACGGAGAGTGAGAGGCCTTGCAGCTGCTACCACTATGTTCAGCATTCGTCGGGCTTTGTCGGGGTATGTCCCTCTATCAAGAATCTTGGTATATAGCTCTGGTAGGTCACGCGGTGCAGTGGAGACAATCTTAATAAACTCCTCCGGTGAACCATCCCCACAATCCTTCAAAATCCCAAGAACAAGAGAAACCCAGAGGAATGTCCGATCGGCCGAAGATTCTAAGAGATTTCGCAAATATCCCAGCTCCCCACGTCGTCCCCAGTATGACTCTAGCCCCTCAATGCCCTCATCTATGACGCGAGAAACGTCGGAAGTGATAGAATTTACCTCGTCCTCCCCTCTCAGCCGGATCGTCGTTACAGCTGAGCCAAGGCCTCTCTCGATTTTATGGTACGGGCGGCTCGTAACCAGGAACCTCAAATGTGTATCGGGGGTTCGTGCATCAGGAAGACGGGTTACATGACTAATCAGTGGATCCAGAGTCTCTTCCTCGCACTCGTCCAGTGCATCTACTACACAGATCACATCACCACACTCGCCTTTAGCCACCGCCGTAACCAAAATATCCCACAATGCATCCACCTCCTCCGTAAACTTCTCGCCTTTGGCCTTAAATGCTGCCCCGGCATACATGATGAGGTGGTTTCTCTGTACAAACAGCTGGTGTAATATAGCGCAGAGAGCGAATGTCGCACTCTTCTGTTCCTTGTTGTCGTCCTTGAAAAAGAAATAGCAGACTATTGCATTCCCTTGGCTTTCCAGATGAGTTACGAGGAATGAAGCAGCGACAGACTTGCCGCAACCGGGGTCCGCCGATAGCCAGAGGAGGCCTGGTGCTCTTTTCTCCGACCAGTCTAGATACTTTGGATGCTCGGTAACCCAAGTACACGTTCCCTCGACTGGCTTACGAACCCGAGCTCGATGCGACCCGTATCTAGACGTGTATAGGCATTGTAAGATTTTGGTATGGCTCGAGGACAGGTTCGTATCCTCGCTGTTGATATTAATGGTGTTTCCGATGCTAATGTTATTGGAGTGGGAGTCGCCACTATAATGGCCTTGAATGTTGCTGTATGCCGAGCTACAACCACCGCTATTAGCACCGATGATTAGAAGCGCTGATATGATTTAAGTTAATGAGCATTCCCGTAGCGTACCGTTGCTGGGAGGAAACATCCTCAGAGGGGGTGCCCGATAGCAGATTGCTCATCTTATCAATTAATTCGTGAATTAGGAGGAGGAGCTGCGAATTGACGGTGTTCTTTGATGCTTATATGATAAAGATAATCTCCGGCGGGGTGAAAGAGAATAGAAGAACCGCAAGGGCTGGGTCAAGATCATATCATCGTTAGTCTTTTATAAGGGCTGCTTTAATCTCCAAGGTACCCC